ACCCTCTGAGATACACCAGTGTTTTGACCAATGAGACAGTCATCAAGATTGGGGTGGGGGTTGCATCCCGGGCTGCTTGCCTTGTCCTGCCAGGTCCCTTCCTTCTGAGGCTTCTGGAATATGGAAGAAAAAATGTCCTTTCCTACTCTATGTGTTTGCACCCAGATGTCTTAAAGGTGGTTCATTCAGATAGGAGGATCAGCAATGTCTACGGCCTGATAGCAACGCTTTTGTCCACAGGGGTGGATTCGCTTCTGCTGGTCCTCTCCTACTTCCTGATACTCAAAACTGTCCTGGGAGTTGCCTCCAAGGAGGAACGCTTTAGGACTCTCAGCACTTGCATCTCCCACCTCTGTGCTGTCCTCAGTTTCTACATCCCCATGCTTGGGCTCACCATGATCCACCGATATGGGAAGCACGCTCCTCCCATTGCTTACATCCTCATTGCCAATGCTTATCTGCTGGTGCCTCCCATGATGAACCCCATTGTGTACAGTGTGAAAACCAAACAGATCTGCACCCGAATCCTCAAGAAATTTCAGAAGAAGAGAGTACAATGAGAGCCTGAACGTGATGGGAGTCTGAACTGCAAAAATTGTGATATATGGCTTTTCATCCTCCATGAACTGTTCTTCATGCATTACTGTAATTCAGAGCAACGTTGCAATTCAGACCCTTTTATTGTATCAGAAAGAGAAGACGCTGTGCATTTATCTTCAGGAAATCTCTAATCTGCAGTAGGGAGTGCAAATATAGGAAACTGTAGTAGGCTTTTCTATGTAATCATGGCCTGGCATTTCGGATCAATGGAGAAAGGTTGGTTCCTGCTCATCTTTCTATGATAGAGTAAATTCCAGAGAGTCCTATATTGATCCTTTGTGTCAGTTGTCTTCTTTTTTCCAAACTAGGTAAATTGTTTTCTTTTCTTTTTTCTTTTTTCTTTTTTTGCTGTAAACCGCCTAGTCACTATGGAGTTGGGTGGCCTTGAAATTGAAATAATAAATAAATTAATGAAATAATAAATCCCAAACCAACTTCCTTGTATGTTAAACTCCTTGTTTCCTGTCCTGTCCTCTGCAACAGCTCTGATCAGCTTTGCTCCATCTTCTACATGACATCCCAGTTACGTCTCCCCACCACCTTTTCCTGTCTAAGCCACGCAGACCCACCCCCTCTTCCTCATACCTTTTTCCATCCAACCCCTCAGCACCTTGGTTGCTCTTCTCTGGACATGCTTCAGCTGGTCAATGTTCTTCCTAGAAGCTGATGCCCAGAACCAGAACCAGACTCAGTATTGTAGGTGGGGACTGGCCAGCACTGAGTGGAGAGAAAGCATCTGGACACTCTACTTCTGCGGACCTAGACTGAGTGCCTACCATTCCTGCATATCCTTTCAAATCCTGTTCCTTTGCATTCAATTTATGTTTCCTAAGTGGCGGACTTCACCTTTGTTGAAGTTTGTTCTGTTAATGTCAGTCCACTTCTCTAACCACCCAACCATTTTGAATATTCTCTCCCTCCTACCTTTCTGTCATCTATAAATCTGACCTGCATCCCCTCGCTCTCTTCCTCAAAGTCATTAATGAAAATATTGAAGAGTAGGATAGAATCTTATGGCACCCTGTTAATGGGCACTCCTTTGTTGGGGCCGACTATGTTGCGTGAACCCAGCCAAGAAAAGGGTTAATGTGGCAACCCAGGCTCACCCATTGTCTATCCCAGCGATCTCTTCATCCATCTGAAACTTGCTCACAGGCTTAAAGGTGGAAAACCTCTGGAGCCAGGGGCCCTGAAACTCCCACCCACCCCGACTTGCCAGGACTGGTCTGGAGCCTGTCCTCCCCCATCCAGACCCTGGCAGCCTTCAGGCACTGGGAAAGGACCTTGGCAGCATCACTTAGTTGGCCCAGGGGGTACAACTGGGTACCATTTTGTGCATGATGATGGATGACCTCACTCAGCAGCTTCATTTACAGTCGCTGTTAAGTAGAAGTGGCAAGAGAGCAGAGCCCTCACAGAGCAGGGGCCTCAGGTTTGACCTCTCCCACCTTACCAACACCAACTGGAGCCAGCCCTGAGGAAAGGAGAAGACATCTAACACTGTGGTTTCCACTCCCAATCCCCTAAGCTGGGCCACAAGGATACCATCAATGTTATCAAAGGTTGTTGAGAGATTAAGGATGGCCAGGATGGATGCGGTACCCTCACCCCAAGGCCCACAGAGGTAATCAACAAGCACATTCAATGCCCTTTCAGTATTATAACCAGGCCTGAATCCTGACTGAAAAGGGTGCAGATAACCTGCTTCTTCCAGAGCCATCTGGAGCTGTAAGTCAACCCCCTCCTCAACAATATCCCCTCAAAGGATTAGAGGGTTAGAGACCGGGTGAGAATTGTCCAGACCTGTTGGGTCCAGCGATGGTCCCTTAAGAAGGACTAGATGGTTGTTTTCTTTGTCTCTTGTAAATTTGATTCCTTTAAAGAATTGTGGATTGTCTCAAGTGTCTTCTCTATTCCGTCCACATTAGGATGAAGGGACTGTCTTGGGAACAGATCCATATTTTGGGCTGTCTGTGCATGAGTGCTTTGCTACACCCGTAAAGCTTCCTGTTCCTGGCAAAGTGGACCCGGAACAGTTAGACCAGCATGTCTGCTAATTGCACGTCTTGCTACTTCTATGTTGTGTTTCTGTTTCCTAGCTGGAGATAAGAAAGTCGTTCTCTTTCCCGGCTGCCCCATCTCCCTCTGGTTGGCAGCGGGTCTCTCACTTTCTCCTCAGTTCTCTGCACTGAGAGATGATGCCCGTGGAGCCCCACTCCTTCCTTTAGTGGACCTTCAGGTCCCCATCTGCCACTGCATCTGTGAGATTTGCACTGAGCTGTCACAGACCTCTCCCTTTTTAGGAAGGATTGGGGAGGAGTCATCCTGAAGGAAGCTCCTCAAGAGCTGCTTGTGCTAACCTTTTGTCCAGTCTCCAGCTTCTCAGCGTTGTTGAGCAGGTGGTTGGGCTGCAGCCACAAAAGTCCCTTGATGAAACTCATTGTCTGAACCCCTTTCGGCCTGCGGGTAGCTCTGGACACCATTGGCCACATTTGTTGTCGACTTCGATGGAGCCAAGAGGGGGTTCTTTTTCATTTCTCATTTCTTAGCAACTTTTCACACCATCACCCTAGGTATCCTTCTGGCCTGCCTATGGGGATTGGGAGTGGGGGGGCAGAGTGGCATGATGGTTCTCCCCCTTTTTCTGTGGCTGGGTCCAGTGCCTGTTGACAGGAAGAGAAAGACCCAGTCCGAGGTTCCTAGTGTGTGGGACACCTTGGGGCTCTGCCCCTTCTGTTTAACACGAGACCACTGGGTGAGGTCATCCATCAGATTGAGGTATCCACCATACGTGGATGATATCCAGTTGACCTTTCTGTC